ACCAGAGGAGAGTTGAAAGAAAAAAAAAAAAGATGTGATATCAAAAACACTGAGGGTGAAATGATGAAAAGAAAAAACTGATCACAGGAAAGTAAGAAAAGTTTGTGAGGAGCTGAGAAAAAGAAGATGTGGGCACATGTTTGAAGCTGAATCTATGAAAAAGAGAAACCACAGATCGACAGAGGGCATGAATGAGTCTACAGCTGTCTTTTAATGGCCCTTATCCTGCAGCTGCAACCAGAAGAATCACTGCAGTACCATCACTCACATGTCAGAATATTTGATTTGGAAACTTTATGACCATTCAAAGGCTTATTTTGCCACTGCGCTCCTCGGACATGATGGATATGTGGTTGCCACTTTGGCTGTGAGTACGTCTCAAAAACAGTTCAGTTTACAGATTCTCTCTGGGAGGTTTGAAGGCACATGGTAAGCTAGACTGCTGCCTACAGTAGGTGCCAGAGAGGAAGAATAAATATTGTCTGGTGTAATAAAAAAAAAAAATCTACACACAATGTGCCTACAACATGGACAACTGTCAAAACAAACAAACAAACGAGGCATGAATTCCCTTTTTTGTGCAACATCATCTCCAGCTAGTTTGAACTTTTAGAAAGTTCAAAGAACATATGTGATTTTCCAAAAATACTTTTCCAAAATGTCACTGATCACTGATCCTACCTGCAGGCTGTGTCTGTGGTTGCGGTTGAGCTCCAGCAGACTCTCTCTGGAGGCTCTGGTGGACTGGGACAGTGAAAAGGCTCTCTTCATGTTGACCGCTCCCTGACACAATCTCCACTGAATACAATATGTCTCATACAGCTCCTCTACCTGCAGAGGCATGGAACAGATGAAGAGTAACAACATCAACAAACATCATCATCAACATTTTTCCCCCTCTTTTACATAACGGATTAGACTGGTAGTTAATCAGTGTGAAGCACAAAGTGTCTCCCTGTGCGACAGGGGTGGCTCATCTGCTGCTTTTAAAAGCTTTTGAGTAATAGTTTAGTGAATTCATACCATAGAAATACATCTGAGTAACTGACAGAAAGATAATCACCAGGCTTGCATGGAGTTAGACTCTTTTCTACAAAACAAAGGCTTTAGTAGATTTTTTTATCAACCTCAACTACAGCCGAGAAAAACCAGTCTAAAATCCAAAATTTTACCTTACTGATTTGAAATTCTAATCGTCGTATATATCTCTCCAAAGACCTGATCTCCTGTAAAAAACAGAAAAAACATATTGAGCTTTGAAAGCTTGAGAAACATTTATTATCACTTATCCATTCAAATCAAATAACTTAAAATAAGATCTTGCTTAAAAGGAAAAAATGAAAACACATTACCTTCTCCAGATCGTAAAGAAAGGCCTGAAAATACAGAAAAGTATAATTATCATCAGCACTGTTGTCATCACCAGGCGCACACATTTTTGTACACACAGACTTTCTTCCTCTCTCCCTCCTCACCAGTCTCGAGTTTCTTTTCGTCTCTCTCTGCTGTGAAGACAGGAAGTCCATCTCAGCTTGGTGACCCTCCAGGTAGTCCCTGAAGAGAGAAACACACAATTAAAAGTAACATTTTATGAAGATGAACAAACTTTACCTGCCAGATATCAGCTGAGAAATTCCAGCTCGGGACTACCAAACATCTACTGCATGTAGCAGCAGATGTGAAAAGTACAGCTACATTTACTGACAGCGTAAAATATTCTTTGCAAAAATTAAACTAAATATCAAAAATCAATTTTACTCTGTTAAAGGATCATTAATCATAAATGTGACCGCTTCCTATTCATCTTGTGGACTTTTGAAGGGTCAAACCACAGATTTGGAACCACTCAAGTAACTAAATGTAAGGAGGTGGAAACAAGCCTCGTGCTGACCAGCTGCAACACTAAAACACTACAGAGACATGGACAAGTTTAGTATTATAGCACTGGGTACGTCACTGCCTGCTTGTACTTTAATGTTTAGTGGGATACTTGTTTAAGTTCAGCAGTACTACACATACTTGAGTCCTTTGCGTAGTGCCTGAAAAACCCTGCCGACCTGCTCCGGCTGCAGAGACCAGATAGCGCCTGAACTTCTGCGGGGGGAGACGGGCGCCCTGCTGGCTTTATTTCCCGTCATGGCTTTGACGCGAAGAGAGTTACGAACAGAAGACGTCCTAAAACCAGAGAAAGTGAATGAATAGTCATAACAACATTTTTACAGGGTAAATCAGAATCTGTAGTTACATAAATTGTTATCAAAAAGAGCTTGCTGGAGTTCTTTTATATTCCTACCTCTTTATTTTCAACTGTGTTCATCAGTAAAATCTGTTCCCATGTAGTTCCCTGTATATTAACACTCCTGTCTTTGGCCCAAATCTAATCCAGCCCCTACAATCCACATTAAGTGTGGATCCAAGCAGGTAGCCTTTAGTGGGAGTGTGTTATAAGGCCCTCCAGCATAAAGTCTGGACCAGTGTAGGTTTACCACCTGTTTTTTGTCTGATACGGAGGAAACCCCACACACTCAAATGTGGTCCATATGATTCAGGACTGTCTGTGCAATAAATAAAATGTCAAGTTTGTGAATGACCATGAACATGGTAACAAGAAAACACACCCAGTTTCAAGTCTAAGGTTTTTATATATCAGGACATAATAAATAGTAATCTTAGCCAGTCTTAGAATTAAGTAAATACAAGCCTCAAAGTATGACATATTACACCGTGTCATTATTTATTTAATAAAAACTTAGCCAAAATGGGCGCAGCAGTGTGTGAAAAAGGACACCCTTACAGGTTGCGTAGGAATTAGGAGGTTAAGTAGTGATCCAAGTGTGAGTGAATACAATACCAAGGAGGATAGATCAACACTGATCTTAAATAAGAAGCAACTGTTTCAGTCCATCATTCTGGAAAAGGATTAAGTCTATTTCCAAACACTTTGAAGTTCATCATTGCACTGTGAGAAAGAAAGCATTCAAGACAGGAATGGATGTCCCAGTAAATTCACCCCAAAGTCAGACCGTGCAACACTCAGGGAAGAGCTAGGTTAACATAGCTTTGCAAAGCTGCATCCGACCCAATCACAGAGACATCAGGATCAATGTTCTTTGGATAGATGTGACTAACAGATGTTTGGCCATAATCCACAGCACCATGATTGGCAAAAACCAAATACAGCATATCAGTGCAACTGCTTCATACCAACAATCAGGCACAGTGATGGACAGTGGATGATTCTGACTTGTTTTCCAGGCACAGGACCTGCGCATATTACAGTCTCAAAGTCGACGGCCAAGTCCTCTGTATATTAAACTATTTCAGAGTCAAATGAGGGGCCATTTGTCTCAGGCTAAAGCTTAGCTGCAACAGGGCCATGCAACAGGACAATGACCAAAAGTACAGCAGCAAATCTACAACATAATGACTGGGAAAAAAAAGAATCAAGGTTTAATCCATAATTTAGAAATGAACATATGCTCCCATCCAACCGACATCTTTTCAGGCAGACTTTTCATGCTTCAGGAAGACAATCGCAAACAAACTGCATACAGCATGACTCTGCAGAAGAAGAGCCTTGGTGCTGAACTGGGCTGCCTGCAGTCTAGACTGTTGAGCAGAAAGAAACGTCTATCAGACCAGATGGGTGCCATTCCTCTCCACCAGCTGGTCTCCTCAGTTCCCACACATTTATAGACTGTTGCTAAAAGAAGAGGGGATGCACAGTGGTAAACATGGCTATTTTTTTGGGTCCAATTTCTGAATTTAAACATTTGATATGTTTGCTGTGCACTATGGTGAATACAAAAAAAGATTTATGGAGAATCGGATGGGGGATGTGTGTTTAGGATGGAAAAATGTGTGGATGTTTGTGTTGTGTGTATAGAGTATAAACAGCCACACACAAACAGAAGTGGAATGCTGCTTGCTTTCTTTTTTTAACACAACATTTTGTTCTCGGCCTCTCTGGGGGACTGACAGTTTTCATCTGGGTGTTTATCACTCTGTCTTCTTTCATTCGCAAATAACATCTGAAAGTCTGTGGTGCTTTCACTGCCTGCCCATCAGCGGAGAACAGACTTGTCTGAGGGTGAAGGGAATTCCCTCCACACAACGTGACGTTTTTATTTTCTCTCATTCATTGTTTCACTATATGGAGAAAAACAGTTCAAAAGAGGGATGATTTATAACATGATCACAGTATCAAAGTTAATATCTGTAAAATCACAAAGTTAAAATTCTTTTTCTTCCCATTTATCCTGACAGCTACAAGAATCGAAACAATTCCTCAGACATTTTTCTCCCAACAAACTTCTGTTTGTTTTGTTTTAGACAGCGGCACGTTTTTCTTTTATAGAGATTCAGACTCAATGTTTCACATAATGAGATCAGTATCTGTACAAGTCAAAAACTCAGGCTTCACACTGCTGACACTCGGTTTTATAAATCTTTTTCTACTTAACGTGATCCTCGTCACACTCAATGTCTAAATTTTATTGATAAACCATTATTTCATAATGCAATGTCAGGATTTTTCCCCCTGACTGAGGATTTCTTTACATCAATTCATAATGATATAGTGAATGTTGATAATGGCACCACTGGTGTTTCCATAATTTCGTCTGCTGCTTGACATGAAGTCTCCCGAGAAAACGAGCTGGCTGCTGGCAGGAAAGAAAATGTGGAGACTCTTCCCAGAGGAGGACGAGACAAGAAGACCAACAGGGAGGGAGAGAGAGACCAAAAGTAAAACAAGCGAGTCCTTAAACAGACTTGTCCTTTAAGCTGCCTTATGGCTGGCTATTTATCATTAAACCAAATAAATGCTCACACTGATGAGCTCAACGCATGCTAATAAACACGAGGGACAAACCAGGGCTGGTTAAAGTGGCCAAACTACTCGTAACATTCACAAAATGTGCACCTGTAGCATCCACTTGCTCGTCCTTCTGTCTATTGTCATCTCTGTAACCACACCCTTCCCTCAATTTTCCCATCTCTATTCTTACATCTGTGCTTCCTTTCAACAGTTGTGGCTTTCTACTGGCGCTGCAGACACACCTGAAGACAATCGACTAATCACTTGCTGCATTCAAACACCAGCTCTCACACCCACCCCTCACCAGATTGTCTGACATTTAAAGATTGCCTTCTCTGCCAGTCTCCCCCCGTTTTCTCCCTGTGCTCCAGCTACGTCCTTGATCTGTCACTGCATCGTTTGACCTTCCTGCTAAACAGTGTGATTCTCCCAGTATTCTGCTTTAGAGTTCTCCAGTTCAGTAGTTAAATCCTAACACTTGTACTTTATAGCTACAGCACATTTAGCAGCACCAATACCTCTACATGACACTTAACAGAGTTTAGACGCCTCTGTGGTTTTTGCTCTTTAAAAAAATAACACTAATTACACACTGTCTGCCCATGATATGTAGCTACACCACACATTTGTTGACTATTTCTCTGCCAGTCAAACCCAGACAGACACACCCCTGCAGCCAGATGAGAGAGGAAAGGGAGCATTTCTGATATCTTTACCAAAAACCTTTTCTTTTATTAAATAAACAGTTGCTAACTTCTTTAAAACTGGCATAAATATCTGAGAGTGAGCGAATGTTTTGGACATCCTTTGGAAGATCCACTTAGATAACAGGACCCAATTAGTTCTTACTAATTGTTTAAGACTAAATTGTGAACCAGTGTTAGTCGTTATTACACAGATTTCTTTCTTATTGGTTGAAACAATAGGAAAGTGTCATTCACCTCCGTCGACCAGTCAGAGAAGAGAATCCAGTGAAGGAGCGGCTTCTGTGGATCAGGCCTCCATCTGAGGGAGAGTCAAATCGCAGCTTCACTGACATCCTGCAGAGTAAATAAGAGGTGTTTTAGCCAATGAGGAGACACGTGCTAACAAAAGATATCCCAAACCCTCAAATATTACCACTTTATATTTCCAAGTTAATCCTAAATAATGGTGAGTCACAAAATCAATCACATGAGGTCTACGATACAAGAAATCAACCACGCTAATGTTGGAAGTAGAATTATAACAGAAATGATTGGAAACAAGATCAAACCAAACAAGCGACAAGAGCTGAGACCAAACAGACGTTTGCTTGAGAAAGGATCTGTCACTGTTTACTCTTCATATTAGTAACTGGATGTGTAAGACTGTTTGTTAAAGCCAAAAAAACTGAATATCTTAAGTCACTTGAATTAAAAAGAAATATTTCCTCCTTTTTCTTTGTTAATTTTAAATTGATGTTCTTTATTTCCACAGTCACTCACGCGAACATTTAAATCAACAAGACCACCCTTACTCTCAGACAATCCAAAACAGGAAACAGAGCACCGACATCTGTGGGACAAATTAACCAAAGAACATCTTGAACCGGACCCACAAATATGTGCACAAACTGCAGATGGAGGACGCTTATATATTCACTATACTCCGAGTATGGCAGCGTTGGTCTGTTGGCTCGCCCACACACCGTAGATTCGGGTTGAACAATCTCAGAAAATGGAAATAAAATCAATAACTTACAGTGTGCACCATTCAATATAAGGTTTATGCCACAATGGCGTTAAATTAACATTAGTACATTTTAAATGCAATGTTTTATGAAAAAAAGCAGAAAAAAAACAAAACAATTATTTTGTTTTGCACTCCTGACAGAAAAATTAGTTTTAGTCATCTAGTTCTACGCTGTTATGCTTGAATCAGTGTGAATCAATGCTTAAAGTCCTGCTGGCTTAAATACAGGTATAAAAATATTCAGTTTGGTACTTGGCTGATAAATAATCTTATTTTCTGTTTGATTTATAAAGTACTTTGTCTTCTTGTTTTTGTGAGAGGTGGTCTAATATACGTGTTAAGTAATTTAATGATAGTTAAACAATTAAATGACAAGAACGTACCTGTTTTTCCACTATCTGCTATAGAAATGTCTGCTTCTATAGTAGACAGAATAAAAGGGCTGCAGCGACTTTGCAGCGACTTTGCTAATGAACCCAGTCAGTGCACATATACACCAAACAGCAGCCTGCAGAGCTGAGAAATGAAGCAGTTCCTCTAATGGCCTCTTGTTACTCGCTCCAAAGGCAAAGGCTTTGCTCCTGTTAATTTAGGGGCGTGAACATGTTGATTGACAGGTTTAAACTGCCTGTGATATACACAGAAATCCCTTGACCTCTCCAAGTGTCTTGTAGAGTGGGCTTTGGTTTTTCAGTGCCTTTTTTTGTTTTGATCCTGATAGTTTTTTTGTCACGGTCCTGGGTGTTTGATTGAAGTGTTTTGAGTTTCCTGTGGGGTGTGTGTTTGTTTGTTTGTTTTTTTGTCACTTTGTATTGTGAATTATGTTCTCATCGTTGGTCTTTTGTTACTCCCTCGAGTCTAGTTTCTTGTGTTCCATGCTTAGTATTTCTCTCTGTGTATTATTCATCATCTCTAGTCTTTTGGTTCTTAGAGTTCTCTGCCGTATGGTTACGTATCTGTGTTTCTTAGTTGCTCTGTCTCCACCATGTTAAGTTTGCGTCTCAGTGTTATACTTCGTGTTTTACTTTGAAGGTCTGTGTCTCATGTGAGTGTATCCTGCTTTGCTTCCTTGTCTCGTCAGTTCTGATTTCCCCCAGCTGTGCTCTCCTTCTGTGTCTCATTCCCTCGTTATTCCCCGGTGTATTTAAGCCCTGTTTTTCTGTGTCAGTGTCGCGTTGTCCCTCATTGCTGTGTGTTACTCTTGCCCTGTGTTGCCTCATGAACTTAGATTTTCCAGTGTAGTTTTGTTTTGTATGCTTTCCCCTGCCAGCAAATAAAGCTGAGTTTTTTTTAGTTTAAACCTTGTGTCTGAGAGCCTGCATTCTGGGTCCAACTCCTGTCTGCCACACAGTGCTCCTTGACATTTTTTGACTCTACTTCTGGTTTCAGATTTTGTCTCAGCATTTTTTTAAAATTATTCTTAGTAAAAACTCCTTAATTTTCTTTCTCAGGTCCCTCATTTGGATAACTATGATAGTGTGAGTTGTAGACGATTGCTGATGTCTATGAAAATGTTTATAGCTGCATCACCAGGAAATAAGACGGAGGCAAAATAAGATTATTTTGCTAAGTTACCAAAAGAGCCTTTCCTTTACGGCAGTAAAGACAAAACTAACAGAACACAATAAAGGCTGACAAAGTGAAAAGGTCAGTCGGTTTTATAGAAGAGTACTGTGTGTAAACACACAGTCTGGATGCCATCTGCTCAGGCTCTTTCATATGGTTCAAATAGTGAGTCTAGTTAAAGCTAAAACAACAACATGACTATATTTTTTACCATTAGCCGTTTCTTCTAAACAGCCTTTATGCAATGATCTGTGTATGATTGTGCAAACCACCTTATTCAGCATGTTAATAAACCACAAAGATGTTTGGCTGAACTTTATTATTACCAACAACCCAAATTTGCTAAGGTAGAGCTGAATTGCCCCTTTTATCCGACTTTGCTGAACTGATCTGTTGAACGTTATCATGTTTTGTTTATGCAGTTTTAGATGGAGATTTACATTCAGCCTAATTTTTGAGTCATTGTTGCTTCAGTCACACAAACATATATTTATACACTCTTTTTTTATTTTACACACACAAACAGGACTTCCATCATACACAGATGGATGCATCACAGGGGCAAAATGCTAATCATCATATTAGTGGATGACACACTGTACCTCCTTAACTACAAGCATCCGGCTGTTTCAGCGTGTCTAAGATGTGATACTATTATCATAAAATGCTGGATCTTATGCATGTGCTAATGTGATTATCTCAAAAAATTATTCTTCATCCCTCAAAAATATGAAGCCATAGTTTTGAGTCAAATGCAGCTTTAGGTTTATTTATTCAAATAATTAATCATGAAAGAAAACATGCTCACTAGAAACTGAATGTGTGATATAATTAAAGTACTTAAAGTCAGCATTTGTGGGTGAATACTGAATATTTTTTGAATGTTTTTATACTTCAGCCTCTTTGGTGGCCCTGAGAGGTCGAGCACACTGCAGCTTAAGAAAACACCAGGAAATAGAAAAACACTGCAAAAGATAAAGAAAAAAAAATCACAAACACAACAGAAGTGTTTTTGTTAACACAAAAATGTGACAGAACACCTGCGAAAGTGACACAGATGAACCCTCCACTTCATTTCTGTCGGTCTCAGTTACAGTCTCTTCACATTTTCTGCCACTTCTCTCACTGACCCGCCCTTTTATTGTGTCCCCAGGAGCTCTACTATTTTGCTGTATCATTTTTTCTTCTTCTTTTTTTGGCTTAAAAAATCATTCTGTTGTGTTTTGGGTGCTTTTGCAGGACAAGTGCACTTGTCCTCTCGGGGTCACCGTATAAGCCGGAGTGTGAATTTTAAATGTTTCATGCATTTAAAACACTTGGAAAAGAGCACGTGCAACAATACTGGAGGTATGGGAGATCAAAACTTCATAAAACTAAATCAAGATCATCCACACTAAGTTTGGCACCCTGTGGCAAGGGTTTGAACCAATAGTATGGTAGAAATACTGAACCCTGCCAATGTAAGTAGTTCAGAATAACCCACTTTGGAGTCCTGACCCAGAATGTGAAACTCACACTGTGGTCCTGATGCCAAAATCAACAGAGTCACCGAGCAACCAAACTTAACAGATGGGGATAGGAAATCCAGGTCTGATCACTATGAACCAAAGTTAGCCAAGACACACACACACATATGCACACACACATATATACACACACTTGGTTTTTCCCTGTAGAGGAAGTTGAAGTGTCTTTTGTTTTACAAGGATAATATTTTTCAGTACATGTTTCTAGCCTCTTAAATCTAAATCTGTCCTTAAGGTAATCCTCAAGGTTAGACAGCTCAACAACATGCAGCGGCTTGAAGTGGGCCAATTATGTTTATAGCTCTCGTTTTGTCCTTGGACTCTACTAAAGCAGATTTCAATGCTTCATTATTTAAAACTTTTGGCATGTTTGATTTTCTCATTCAACACTATGACCAGATAGGTATGACAGAAAATAAAGAAAAGTATAAAAGGTGGGTTTTAAACAGAAGTATTAATTTGTTTTACAAATGAACTTCATGTCACGGCTGCGGCAGCAGTCGTGTGGTGTTTGTGTGAAAGGACCCAAAATGCAGGCATTTGCTGTGATGCGAGGGAGCTTTATTGTAGAAGGTGAAAATAACAAAGGCGAGGACAGAACTAAACATAAACCTAAACTGGGAAGACTAGTAACAAACAAATCCCGAAACCATAACTCACAGAACAACATGCAGTAAAAAAAACATAAGGAGGTGACACAGGGGATGAGGAGTGGAGAATGAAGCGCAGCGAGACACCAAGTTACACAAATGGAGCGACGACGAACGGAGGCAAACAGTCTGGGGTTAAAACTGAAGCAAAAAGAACATGAAACCAATGATTTGATCTAAAACATCATTTCCCCCTTCATTTGTCAGGTGGAAACACTCCACTCCACTTTGCTGTTGTTTGAGAAACAGTCAGGTGGGTCATTTCACTGCAGAAGCAAACAGATCACTCGTTGGTTCAAGTTTTCAGAAGTGAGTATGGCAGAGCAGCAGAGGTGAAAGAAAGCAAATAAACACGAACACTTATCTAGGAACATACAGTTCATATCTGTGAATAAACTGACCAACAGGAAAGCAGAGGAGCAAAGAAAAGCAACACACAATGCCTACGAAGCCTTTAAAGACTGTTTAAGTTGTTAACAAATATGCTATAACTGCTGAAATAAATAGATGAGTTGGAAAAGATGTACTACATGAAGTAGGAAGATATGCACGTGCACATTATTTTTGGTGGATTTTTGACACTGT